CTGGGTAACATGACCCCCTTTGAGATTCTTCTAGGCAAAGTACCCACCTACGACCATCTTCGATCGTTTGGCTGCTTGGTTTATGCCAAGGATACTAGTTCCTCACTGGATATATTCGCTGAACGTGGCCGTCGAGTAGTTTTTGTGTGTTATCCTCACTCCAAGAAGGGATATCGCATTTATGACGTTGTTACTCGGCGAGTTTATACTTCTCGCGACGTTCATTTTGTCGAAACCCAGTTTCCTTTTCGTGTGGATTCATCACAACCACCAGCTCCTGCCGTGCAACTCCCTTCTCCATTTTTGCCTGCGTCTTTCACCGAGGAACTCAGCCAGGTTGATCCCTTGGTTGCAGCTCGCGCTGAGATGGATGAGGCCCTTGATGAGAGTCTCGGCGTGGATGATGATATGGCCACTCATTTGCATGATATTCCCATGCATTCGTCGTCGCCACCTGCTACGTTCCCGCTCTCGGATGCCTCTCCCTCTCCCGTTGTCGTGGCTTCGCCTGATGAGGAGATATCCACCGACGCAGCACCTTCTCTTGTTGGCTCTCCCCCTGCAACTCCAGCCCTTCGTGCTGTGATAGGAATCGTCACCCGCCATCTCACCTCGGCATTTACGATGTGGACTTTCCTGGTCGTTCTTCTTCTGCCTGCCAATACCCCATCGCCAACCATGTTAGCTACCACCGGTTTTCTCCTAAGCATAAAGCCTTCCTTGCCTCTATTACTCAGCTCACCGAACCCAAGAATTATCACTCTTCGTGAAATTGGTTTTGTCACCTCTCGTGCAGACCACTCTATCATGCTTCACCGTCAGGGCACTTAGTTCGTCGCCGCTCTCATTTATGTTGATGACGTGGTCCTCACCGGTAATGAAGCAAAGTTCACCAATCAGGTTAAGTCCTTTCTGGATGCTCGGTTAAGCATCAAAGATCTTGGTCCCCTCAAGTATTTGTTGGGCATTGAAGTTGATCGCTCTCCCGAAGGTGTTGTGCTTTCTCAGCGCAAATATGCTTTGGATATCTTAGATGATGCTGGTGCTACTTGTTCCCGTCCTAGTCGGTTTCCTATGGAACAAAATCATAAGCTCACTCGTCCTAGTTCGTCTGAAACTGATGCGGCAGTTGATGTTTCAACTTACCGCCGCCTGGTTGGCCGTCTTCTTTATCTCACTGTTACTCGGCCCGACATTGCATATATTGTTAATGTTCTAAGTCAGTTCGTTCATTCTCCCGGTCCGGAACATGTTGCCGCAGCTCATTGGGTTCTTCGGTACATTAAGACGGCGCCAGGTCAGGGCCTCTTCTTTCCTGCGGATAGTTCACTCTAGCTTACTGCTTATTGTGATGCAGATTGGGGTGGTTTCCAGTCCACTCGTCGTTCTACTACTGGGTATTATATTCAGCAAGGTTCTTCGCCCATCTCTTCGCGCACTAAGAAGCAGTGTATTGTTGCTCGCTCTTCTGCAAAAGCGGAGTATCGTGCTATGCCCAGCACCGTTAGTAAATTTGTTTGGTTGTGTTTCCTCCTTACCGAGTTGGGTGCTCCTCAGTCTGGTCCCACACCTTTATTTTGTGACAATCAGGCTGCCCTGCATATCACCGCGAATCCGATTTTTCATGAACGCACCAAACATGTTGAGATGGACTGTCATTTTGTACGCGAGCGCGTGGTCATCGGTGAGATTGATCCTCTCAAAATTGGCTCTTCATCTCAACTGGAGGATATTCTTACCAATGGTTTAGGCGCTGATCAGTTTCATTTTCTCTTATCCAAGCTTGGCATTCGTGACCTGCAAGCTTAAGCTTGAGCGGGTGTGTTGGAATGTCATTGCCATTAGTACCTTGTTTAGGTACTTAATTGTTATTTTGCAGCCTTCTCCTAATTACCCTAGATCACTCACCGTGGACTAGTCCCGTCTATTGACGGGGAAACAATAATGTTGTAAGTACAGGTTTAGTTTGTATCATAATTTTTTTAAAGCACTAATACTATAAAACAGTGGAGGGGTGTAAGCCTGGCCTTACATACGCACTGGCTCGGCCTGACTCTGAAAGTCAGGTGGCTCAATTTCTCTACAGGATTAGTGTAGGGTCAGGTCATCATTTGGCCTTGTATTGATAAGGTCGGGTCAATTTAAGATTGGGTCACTTTTGGATCCATAACTCATAGCAACAATTAACGATTTGAAAATTCGACATACCAAATTGATTGTAAAGTTGTAAAAGTTTATGTACTATATTGCAATTAAAAAAATAAACGTACTAAAACATAATTTTGCAACCAAAATTTTAACGGCTATTTATAAAAAAAAATTATCTGCTAAATTAAAAGAAAAAATAAATTTGGATACAAAATATTGTAGTTTGTTGATTTGAGCAGCCATCTTACTCAGCCCGACCCAATTAATCCGATCTAATCCAAACATATCAAACATAGACAAAGATAAATTGGGTCACGTCAAATTTATAGATTGACCCTATAAAACTGGATATTTTAGTACAGTTCTGGAGTCCGGGTTGAATTTGGGTGGTACATTTTATCCCTTAAACCATTGTAAAATTCCTCTCATTTATTTATGTTTCTGAAGTAGTAAAAGGGTAATGTTGACGTACGTACGCACCTATGAAGGGCTTCAGCTTTGAGGAAGTGGGGGAGGAGCTTCCGCATCTGGCGGGACCGACGAGCTGTTCTGCGTGAAGGGGAAGATCTTGTTGACGGAGTCCGGCCACCAGGCCACCAAGAGCTTGTTCTCTTTGGAGAAAAGGAACTTGTTCCCGGCGGCTCCAGCCAGGACCACGGCGGGCTTGCCGACGATGTTGGTCTTGAAGACCTCGGACGAGAACTTGGTGACGCGGTCGAACACGAACTTTTCGGGGCGGCCTTTCCATCCGGTGGAGAGGAAGTCGAGCGTCTCGTCGAGGAAAGGCAGCCCGGGCCGGCCCGGCAGGAGGTTGGGGAAGTTGTACTAAGCGCGGTGGTTGTGGAAGACGAGGAACAGTGAGAGGGTAACGAATGATACGAAGAGGAGGAGGAGGCTGAGGTAGAAATGCTCCATTTTTACACTCGTTTTTCCATTTTGTATGGGAAGTGCTGTTGTTGTTAATTTGTTTTTGGGACACTGCTATGTTGGTTGTGTGGTGAAGGTACGAACTACGAAGGAGGGCTTTGTGCCAATTTATAGGCGCATCTACCATTCAATTATGTGTTTCTCCCCTCTACAAGGAGAGATCGACCATATTGTATTTGTACATGTCCTTCAAGTTTCCATAAAGAGAGAGTACTGATTACTGAAATAAGCATGTGGCTAGTGTGGCCTGTGGGGGTTAATACAATTTGCAACTCGGTCGAGATTCTGTGGGTCATACAGGTTTATCATATGTGAGTTTAACCAATACCACAATAATTAATGTTCCCTCAATGCTGGAGATTGGTGATGTCGCTCGATTCCATGGTTGCCAATGTCATGAGAAGCCGCTACTATCTACGTGAAGATTTCTGGACTGCTCATAGGGTGTGACAGTTGACTTTATATACTCAAGTTTTATACACATTCAAACCCAGAACATCAGGGCGATCATATATACACTGAGCAAGGATAGGTGATGTGTCATTTGCCTAGCTAGATGGTAATATAAAGATCATTTTGGACTTGTGAAGAAGGAAATCATGGGGATTTTTTATGAGGAATTGTACGTTAAATTATTCTTTGTGCAAAAAAAACATCTTCCCTGTTTGGACTCTTGGATAAAATATTCAAGAAGTTTGTTGTGTGCATAAAATATATGCTCTCGTTCTGAATATATTTAGTTTAGTATTTATGTAAGTTGATAATGTATGAACTAGTTTTAGTATATATAATTTCTCAGGAATTAATTTTGTCAGACCATCAAAATTTCTCAGGAATTCATATCGGTAGAATTTAGAGTGACGATCTGTAACTAGACATACTCTTGAGCAAGATGTGAGAGACTTTGTGACGTTCATCAACCTAACTTTCTAAGCTCATCTTACGGAAACTCATGTATCCCCTATGGGGACAATATGAGTGTTTTCGGTCTTTGTTTGTTGAGGTTCACAACCTTTAAGTTTCTTTAAATACTAGGCTAGTTTGGATTTCCCTAAAACCCTAACTAGGTTTAGTATGATCATTTAAAAAAACAAGGTTTAGTATAGTTCACCCATTTAGCCCACATGTTACTGTCGAAAAAACATTTAGCCCATATGAACACAAAAATATCTTCAGCGTCGTAATTTTCACGGCTAAATTATACGTTTGGTCACTCAAATTATACAAATATTTCACATTTGCCACCCGAATTATTTTTGTTTCTTAGTCGCCACTAACTTTACGAAACCGTTAGTCACCGACCGTTACACTCCGTTAAATTTTTCCTACGTGGAAGTCAACTATTAAGTTTGATCGTTAATTTGATGACGTGGAAATAAAAAAAATTTGTTTTGCACCTCATTATCCCACATACTTTATCTAAAGACTTTTCATATTAATTATTTAATAAAAATAATTAAATTACAAAATCCACTTACCATCCCAACCTTCTTCAATTCCCCTCTTTTACACCCTTATGTGGAACCTCCACAAGACCCCAACCATCCCCTGCAATCCCCAAAAAATTGGAATTAGTCCCCTCTTCCGACCCTTCACCACCATCCTTGCAAAACAAATCTCCAATTCTTCTTCCCAAGTTTACCTTGCTCTCCTCGCGGTTGATTCTCGTCAGGATTCTCCAACCCAAAGAAGTAATCGGGCATCCCGGAGACGATGGAAGACGCCTCGGAACTTCCTCGCTCTAGTGACCGACAGGAGTTGAGCACGTCGAAGAACGAATGCTACCGATTTGTCGACCCGTCGAGAAGCGAGCTGATGCTATTGGTTCTCGAACCCCCTGATTACTCAGCTAACCTGACGCTGGAAGGGAGGTGTTGGTGAAAGTGAAGGCTATGATGAGATTGGGATCCGACTGAGGGAGATGGATGGCGCGGAATCCGAGATCGCAGACGGCAGAGGCGATGGCTTTGAGATGCGGCAGCGGAGGAGTCGGCAGCGAGGAGTTGCCGCCGGGTGAGGAGGATGGCTGCGAGGTGAGAGGAGAGGTGTACGTGATGCCGATGACGGCGGCGACAGAAGTTGTTGGAGCAGAGAGTATAGTGCGATCTCCAGCGTGGCTCTTCTTTCTCAACAATTGAGTCAATGTCGGAGATCTGTTTCAGCCCATTCGAGTAGGGATGTTCAAATGCTTAACATGGTTATTACCAAACCAAATAAGGCTAAATACCATTAACCATGGAATACATATCATAACCAAACTGTCCAAACTAATACAACAACCAAATTAACCAAACTAAAGTTTAATCGGTTTGGTTAATTGGTTAACCAGATTAACCAAATAAAATCACATTATCATTAAATGAGAAATTTTTCCGGTTAATGTATCAATTCGCAATTTATATAATGAATAAAACATAACAATCAACACATAGTTATAGTTGACCCTTAACATAAATACATGCAACTAAGACAATTATCTTACGATTAGTATAGAAGTATTCACCTAACAAAATTTTATGACAATGGTATGGGTTAATGAATTATTGTGTTTGTGTGAATTGACTTAGTCTCTTAGCAATTATCATAGGCTGAAAAGGACCTTCCTTTCCATTTTTCATCCATCATAATGTATGAGATTTATCTAAATTAGGCGTCCATATGTTGTGATCTACCCTTTACATATACAAATATACACTATAGGAGCAATATTGAGCTTTATATTTTATGAGTGTAAAACGGATGAACGTTTAACTCTTGAGTGGTTATGCAAAGTATTAAGTATGTGTATACAATATATATTAGATATATGACTAATTACTTAACTGGTTAATTTGGTTTGACTGGTTAGGAGTGTCTGAAACCAAACCAAACAAGCTAAAAACTTTAACCAAACCAATTATCAAAATTAACCAAACCAATTATATACACAGTAACCACACCGTTTGAAAACCCCTATCCGAGAGAGAGAGGTGGAAAATGAGATAATGAGGTGGAAAATAAATTTATTTATTGATTTTCACGTCATCAAGTTAACGGTCGAACTTAATAGTTGACTGTCATGTAGGATAAATTTAACGGAGTGTAACGGCCAGTGACTAACGGTGAAAAGATTCGTAAAGTTAGTGGCGAATAAGAAAGAAAAATAATTCGAGTGACAAACATGAAAGATTTGTATAATTTGAATAAATAAACGTGTAATTTAGCCTAATTTTCACAAAACCAAATAGAAAATGTGTTTGGGGATTCACCATATTTGTTTCGCCTTCATACCAAAAAAAAAACATTGTTTCACCTTCCTTTTGCGACTCAAATTGGGCTTCGGTTGCAACTTTTCTGTTATTGGGCCTAAAGGAACCTTCCTGCTGACTTCCTAAGTGCACTTCAGCCGTCAGATTTCGCGGTCTATTTATATGCATGGACCATAACAGTCTAACACACTCTTCTCTTTCATGTGCTTTCTTCTTTTTTTTTTTTTGATCGAATTCATGTGCTTTCTTCAACACTCAACAGCTTTGCAAAGTCGAAAGTGAGAAAGGCGGCAAGCTCTCCCCGACTCGCGATCACGCTAACGGCTCTCTTGGTTTTTCCTATCGTCCTTTCCGCCTCCGATCCACTTTTCCGTTCAAAGGGCATTCGCATTCGTCGCTGGGAGTTCCGGAATCACACTTCCAGACCTTTACTTCGTAAGCACTTTCTCTGTTTCCCCGTTGCCTTACCTCGCCAAGCTCTAGTGCTTACGCGCAATTCGTTCATCTCTTACATTTTACTAGTTGTTCGAGAAATTAGGGTTTCCGGAAACCCTAGCCTCGTCAGTTCTCGCTCTCTCCAACATTGCCTGTGTTTTCCCTTTACTGCGATCCATCCAATATGGTGGCGGAATCAGCTTCCGCCACCACCCCCCTGTTGTCTCTGCCGGTGGGCTATCACTTTAGCCCTAGCGACGAAGAGCTCGTGGAGTATTACCTGAAGAAGAAAGCTAGAGGAGAGAGTTTCCCGTACAATGTGATTCCAGATTGCGATCTCTACGGCGACAAGGCTCCGTGGGAGATGTTTCCCCCGGATGCCGGAACAGGAAGAGACAGGTTTTTCGTCTTCACCCGGCTTAAGAGGTTAAGTAAGAAGAGGATTTCGCGGACAGCATCGATTGGAGAATGGCATGGCAACACTGCCGGTGCGCCCATTGTTGATGGGAAGAACAACGTGACTGGGGCTAGGAGACAGTTCGTTTTCAAGTTGAAGAAAGGGAAAGAAGGAAGTGGCTCGGGAGCTCTTGTGGGGCATTGGATAATGCATGAGTATTCACTGGCTGGGATGGATTCTGACATTGTGTTGTGTGAAATTGAAAACAAGGAGAAGAAAAGGTTGAGAGTTGATGAAAGGGTGGTGTGGGAGACTGTAAACAAGGGAAGTAAAAGGCTCCGGATGGATGAAGAGGGAGCTTTCTTGACTGCCACAGAAGATGCTGCTGTATCGTCATCGTCATCATCATCATCATTGTCGGAAATGGTTGCAGAGTTAGCTAGTGACCTTCCTTTCTCGCCCTCTGTTAGACACTCAGCTGAACAGGTATCAATTCAATGTGAGGTGCAGGCAGTATCAACGAAGAATGCTGGATTGATTTGTGGAGAGCCTTGTGATATTCTTTCTGTATCAACAAAGAATGCTGAAGCGGAGATCATGTCTTCCCTTCAAAGTTCAATCAACAATCCCACGACATCCTCATCTTCATCATTGATTCCAGTAGCTTCAGCTTACGATTTGGATGTTTGTCAGCCTCAAGGTGACTTTTCGGGAGATCTTCAACTTGGATTCCTAGCAAGCTGTGGAACATCAGAGTTGATTGATCAACCAATGTTCGACTTCGATGATAACTTGTGCAACCTACTCGAGTTCGACACCAGTATTGAACTCGACATGACTGGTTTGTGGTAGGTGTGAGGTCTTGTTTGATTTCCATTTTAGTAAATGCTAAGTGATAGTTGCTTGACTGCTTGTCAAGCTTCTTATATCACTTAATGGTTTAAACTATCATGCCTGTGTATATTTTTTTGCGGTAATGGTTTGTATTTGAGGCAGAAGCAGGGAGCGGAAGAGATTGGGTTCTTTTCCTCACTTCAGGATGGAAGGTTTGCAGGCAACTTCAACATTTTGAGATTTCAATTCAGTGACCCATTTCTTCTCTGCAATTTCAGGAGTCACAATTGGTGTTTCTGCATCTTGCTGATGCAATTCCACAAGTTATGCGCAAGGCAGCCTCGATTAGGAAAAGCTGATTGCTAAGCTCCCTACTTTGAGGTGGTAAGAAATGAATGATACTGGTGGAACTCATAGGAGCGGGTCTTTCCATCCTTATTTCTAGTTTATCCATGACAAAAGAAACTGATGTTTCATTCGATGATCCAGCTTATGAAGGATAGCAGGAGGAACAAAAACCACACTACCTTGCTCAGCTTGGCAGAAAGGATAACCAAAATAAGGGATTGAATGAACCATGATGAGCTTGGAGAGTTGTTGATTGAGGCCCTGCTGCTTCATATTATAACTCTGTTGCTTGTCATTGATTTCATTTGATATAATTATATGCAATTTGGCTATTGCTTGATAGCCACATGCATTATTGCTGCTTTCTCTGTGTTTATTTATGGACCGAATTCTTCATCTAACTTGTATTTTTTAACCTAATCATGCAGGGACTAAGGCTGTTCCGTTCCCCTGGAGAGTGCTATATATAGTTTCAGTTCTTCTTCGCCTCCTCGACAAATTGGGAAGGCTGGACATGTCTGCTATAGTCAGTGAAGTGAGTTACGGCTAGAGGGTGGAGGAGACTCTCTGTCTCTCGGTTAGGGTTGAAGCTACAACAAGTTGTGAACTGAACTGAAGGCCTAGCTCGAGAGTTTTCCAGTGGGAGCAGCAGAAGCTGTATTTTGATTAGCCTGACAATTGGCTGCTCTTTGTACTCAGCATCCTGCTGGTTTTTTTGGTACTAGTTTGGGATGTTTCTTTTGTTGCGGCCATGCGATGCAGGTTGCCTTTACTATTCATCTCTCCTGCACTGAATCATGGTCACCTGTTCGGTGGCTCTTTTGTACATATAACATAATTAAATTTTAGTGTCAAGGAAAGAGAACGATTCTGGAAATCAAGCTGAAGGCCTTAAAATTGAGTTTTACAGAATACATACTTGGTTTTGTTGTAGAACAAAAAAGAACGATTCGATCTAGAAAGACACACTTGACTTCTTTCCCTTCCCTCCGCAGGTATTTGTCCTCTTCACAGTTCACACAATGAGTAGAGTAGATAAAACAAAACCATACAAAAATTGGGAAAGCCAACTCACTACCGCTAGCACATAAAAACAAGTGGAACCACCAGGCCCAGTGTTTTTATTCTCTGTACACAACTTCCAGTCAATACAACAAAGCAAACGATCAATGCTTACGCCAACGCAGTCAAAACCGCGCTTTAAAACTTAAAAACTTACGCTTTGACCTTTTGGGTCATCAAAACGCTTCTATGTAGAATCGTGATTTTCCCTTACAAATGTCGTCAAAATCTACGTTTTAAAACTTAAAAGCTTATGGTTTTACGCTTCTAGGTCACCCAACCATAATCGCGGTTTTGACTGCATTGTCTTACACCACCCAGCAACAGAGAAAAAAATCGCAAACAAGCACCGAACCGCTCTTTCATGGGCCAATATATGGCTACAGAAACACTCCAATTAGCTAGTATTGCCCTTCAACTTCAGTCTAGTTCAAGATTCAGAGTACGTACGTACACTTTCATGGAGTTCATTGCGTGTAGAAATTAAAAGATCTTTCTGGCACAACTCTCTCTGAATAAGGTGATTTAACCGGACCAAGTGTAGGAAAAAACATGGCACACTCCATTTGTAATACGTAATTAACTGATCCATGATGAGGTATAAAAAGGTTACTTTTGACTTTCACAAAAGTCAAAACTAGTAAGGCCATACACCATCGATCGGGGCAAGGGAACCTTACTCTCCCGAGCCCCCTAATCGGGAATCTCGCTTCTAGACCCTGGCTCGATTACCCGTCAACGAGATCCCATGACTTTAAATCGACGGCAAATAATCCGATTCAAATTATATCACATGTAGAAGGGGAACATTGCAAAAGAACGACAAACTCGCGCAAAAAGTCCCAGTCCCATGTTAAAAATGACGATTTGCAATCAAAGAAAAACAGACATAACAATAAATACATCCAATAATTGCAGACCTGCGGGGGCCAAGCTTGGTACACCGGCCAAGACAAATAATACGGTGTAATATTGAATGATCAATTATAAAATACAACCTCAAAGTTGGCATTAAGAGCAACAGAACATGAAAGTACAAAAAATAATGGATTGGAAGTTTAAGCAGACTAATAGATAATGCATTTGCGTGAAAGTAAGAATGAGAGGGTAGTTCAGTCAAAAAAAAAAAATGAGAGGGTAGTTGTCTTTCTCATTTCGTGCGAAGGGTCATACCCTAACTCTACCCACTGGCGGATTCAGGAAATTTATATAGGGGGTGTCATCTTCAAAAATTAAATTTAATTAAAAATTAAATTAAATAATTCATAAATCAAAAAAAAAATATTTGATTAGTGTAAATATACCATATTAGACAATAATTTCCGAACTCATCGCATATTCAATTTCTAACATTGTTCCTGATGTAACTCAAACTTGAAAGACTCTTTCAACTCTTGCACTATACCTATAAAATCAATTCAAATTAAGGATAGCTCGCATGAGTTTAATTGTTAGGTTTTGAAAATAATTGGGAATAAAGAATAGTGTTATTAATATAACATAGTGTTTAAAATAAAACAACAAATGTGTTGCAACCTAGAGAATATGTTTAATAATAGTGGTGTTGTAGGTTTGAATAACACAGTACTACTTATATATTTTTAATCATACGCAAACTACTACCGATGACAGGATAATTGTTTTTCAAAATTTAAGAGGGTCCCAGATTACCAATTATAAATTTTTTCATCCATACGAAAATACTACCGGGAGTTGGATAATCGTTTTCCCAAATTTTAGGGGTGTCCGGCCATGTATCCTCCACTGACTCTACCTACTGCTATTTGGTCTCCTTCCCGATGATGGAGGTAGGGGTGGTATTCGGTCGGTAACCGGTAAGCCGGTTACCGACTTTACCGGTTTTTGGTATGTCGAGTTTGGGTAAGGGGGAATTGATTATCGATACCGGTTTATCGGTTACCGAATTACCAGTAAACGGTTACAAACCGGTTTTACTGACTTACCGTAAGAAGTGCCAGCCCGGAGGAGAAGGACTGCAGAGGAAGGTGGCGGTCTTGGCGGTGGCGGAGGAGGAGGAGGAATGGCAGAGGAGGACTGGCGGGAAGGTGGCGCCGTGACGATCAGGCGGAGGACGGGAGGCGAGGAGGACTGGGTCTAGGAGACTTCATCGCCGTCACTCCTCACTCGTCGGCTCGTCGCGTCTGGGTTTCGAAGAGGGAGGGACACTCCTCATACCTCACTCGTCGTCGTCACTCCTCATTTGCCGGCAAGTGCCGTCTGGGTTTCGCAGAGGGAGGGGGTGTTGCGGGCTGCGGCAACGCGGCGTGGTCGATCGAGAAGCGGAGTCGCGAAGTTGGAACGAGGAGAACGAGAGGCAGCGGGCGAAGGTTAACGCGAGAGGCTGAAGACTGAAGGGGGTCGAAGACGAAAGAAGGCTGAAGAGGGTCGTTTTTGTTTAATTTAGGGTTTCCAGTGAGGCAGTAAAACGCCGCATCCCGATATTGGTAATACCGACTTACCGTTGGTATTTATCGAGACGGAGGGGGGGGGGATAAATTAGATGTCCCAACTAACCCTCGATTACCGATACCGTCGGTAATCGATTTACCGTTTACAGTCGGTTACCGGTTAGGTAAAATGGTAAACTGATTACCGGGTGACTGTTTGTCAGCCTTAAATGGAGGTATTTGCTCACCAACGGATCCAACATATAGTAAAGTACTCGGCCGCAATTGAATAAAATATAAGATATCGTAAAAAATATAATAACTATAGTTTTCTTCATTAGAATGACAATTTTATTAGAAGGTCTTTTAATTTGGCAAATCCATCAATAATAGAATCTCCATCAATACCATTAGCATACTCTCACTCAAAGACAATAGCTAAATAATCAATGAGAAATTCATTGCTTATTTTGTTGCGCATATTAGTTTTCACATGTTTCATTGCTGAAAATGTTCTCTCCAATCGCCATGATAGTCGTTGAAATGGGTATCAAGAACCAGTTGATCCCAATAACTCGAGTTGTTGAGAGAGGTTCCATAATGGATCTTATACCACACCCTAACACGCCCCCTAAAACGAAAACCACTCACAATGGCTTGAAGTTTGCACATGTCTAAACACAAGAATACCATGTGCTTCACAAATGGGGGTCACCGGGATTCGAACACAAGACCTCTCGGTCACAGAAGGGTCTGATACCATATCAAAAATCAGTTGATCCCAATAACTCGAGTTGTTGGGAGAGGTTCCATAATGGATATTATACCACACACTAACAATGGGTAAGGTTAACACTAGACGAATTAACCAACAAATCAATTTGTATTGTGTGTCCATCCCTATTTCCGCCAGCTTCTCTGGTAATTTGGCAAGGGAAGAAACTTAATATTATCAACTAGAAACCACATGAGCGGCATAATATCATGGCTCATTTTTTAAAGAATGCATCTCATAGTCTTCAAAGTCTCGAGGCTAAATTCTTGAGCAGGTTTGTAAATATTTTCTTCACCAAATGACCCGAAAGAACTGTTAGGATCTAGTGCACCACTCAACTGAAGCAATCTAAATGATGACTCAACAAGTTTGTAAATATTTTCTTAATCAGAAGACTGAAAATAAAAGCAGCAATCGGCAGACTGGCGGAGGAATCACCATAAAAATCATTACAGTCAATTCACCGATAACAGGTTATATATATACAATCGATTTCATAATACCTCGATTATAGAATCCCAGATTTCCGAAAATACGATCTTATACGCCTTCTCCGTGGGATGAGCACCATCAAAATACAAGTACTTTGAAGTATTGGTACAAGTAAAAGGCGTCAATGGGTTGCAAAGAAACGCAAACTCGAAAGCACCTGTCCCACAGCACCCTTCCGTCGATGTATCAAACCCTGCAATAATCCATTGATCCACGTAAACTTTTATTAACCATGCACGCTAATCACCTTAATTAGTTAAAGAGAAATTAATTAAACCAATAATAATTACCATAATTTTCAGGACGCCTAATGATTTTCAACAAGGGCCTGTACACGTCCACAAACACGATGTTCAAGTCAGGAAGACGAACGTCGTCGTTCAGGGCTTCAACTGCATCGCTAAGCTTGTCGTTGAACATCATCGCCAACTCGTTGGAGACGTCGGAACATTGTCTTTTGATCCCGCCGAAGAAAGTTCTCGAGAAAGGGACGCATCCGGTCACCGTCGTGCTAAAGACGGCGATCTTGCGAGCTCCCAGCGTGTATAGTTGTCTGAGGTTCGCGGTGGCCTGGGTTACGAGGAAGGCGGCGTAGGAAGGTAGGTCGAGTTGTCTTCCGGTGAGGAAATAGGTCAATCCTACGTCGTCGTTTCCGGCTGATATTACGTGGAGGCTGCGCTCTACGATGTCGTTTGCTTTCCGCTCTCCGACTAGGGTTTTCAGCTTTCCCTTGTATTGTTTGAAGAGATTGAGTTGAGCCGGCATCGAAAGAACGGCCTGATATACATATTTCAACCGCTAGTAAGAACTAGCTTATGACCCGGCCCGTTGGCCGGAATGTTTATATTTGACTTTTTATGTTATGCTAAAGTCTATCAATTTGTTTAATTTTATTGAAAATCTTTCGATCGAGATGATACATAAAAAAAGAATATATAGGTCGAACATTCAGAAAAATATCATCATCATTTGAGAATATAAAATATAAAATTGTATCATTGATTTTCATAATGATAATTAAGCCCAGTTAAAATGTTATTAGTTAGTTGATTGTTAAGAAAGATGGAATATAAAAGTTCATTGGAATTCACACACGACCCATAGATAGTTTGAAACTGAATCTAAAATCTCACAATCCTACATAAATGGTTCAATGCTCTCATTTTGCGGGCAATATGCCACTAATCAAAAAGAAATTGAGAGTTATAGGTTTAAGTCAACTATATACTAACACTCAGCTAAGAGGGGACCATCAACACTTAAAAGAAATTGAAAGTTATAGGTTTAAGCACAAAATTAAATTTATATTGAAAAATGCAAGGACACAACGCGTAGTAAAGAAAATAGTTTCGTCCATGTTAGCCAATTACCAATTTACCTTTAGCGAAAATTAAGGAGAGAGCATGAATTTTAAAATGGATAATATTATCTGAAACTCTACTATGAAAATTGAAGTATTAAGCACCATGAAAATACATGCGGTAGACTTAGTGCGCTTGTTAATCATGATGGAAAAGTCCTATGCTTTTCACCGTGTAAATACATGTATGTTTTGTATTAAAAAATGAACAATAAATATATTTAGTAAAATTGGTTGTGACAGTTGTATGGGTTATCCATATTATTGGATGAATGTTATACACTTTCATTTCATGTAGGAGTGAACAAAATGACTCAGAAATTCGATCCACTAATGTCACCCGGCCCGAACTATCCCAAAACCCAATTATCTGAGTTGGTTCGAGGTTCTAAAACCCGAACAATTCAAACCGATCAAACGTATAATATGTTATTCTCTATTATGAGAATGGGCTCATGAAATTGGTAAAGCCCAATGCAAAATAAGGACATAGTAAAACTTAAAAGAAAAGGAAAAAAATTTGGGATTGAAAGAATGGTTTGATATATAAATTTCGATCATCGGTACAAAATATTATTATATGGATTAGTCTATATGCACTCATGTTATCGGATGTTTGTTATACATTTTCTTCGTAATCATCATCTTAATCATGCAATTTTACTCACCAGCCGAAGATAGAATATGCACATATTTAAGAAAAGTTCTTTATGGTTTACTTAAATTTTCATTATCTAAAAACTTATTAATCACTGGAATATACATGCATTAGAGAAGTTGTGGCTAGGTTATATCATTTAAAGTGGCGCGTGTAATTAAGAGAACAATATTATATCAATTTTTAAACATATCAATATACAACTCGAATTATTGGAACGATAAATAAATTGATTTATTGGAATAAGTAAATAGCAAGAAGCACAAATATTTTTAGCAAGTCAGATCCTTACGAATGTCTTTGCTGACAATGGATCGTATCCACTACCACCAGAAGCAAAATTCACTCCTGTTATCAGATCATCCACGCCGAGATCCGGATCAAGATAAGGCGGTAAAGTTTCTTTGATTCCTAAACTTTGAACTGAGAAAAAGAGTAAAAGTTGATAAGTGCATCCTGAATGAATTAAAAACGAAATAATAATAGTGAAAAATCACGTCTTGCTGTATATATACCTATGAAGTCTGAAATGAGTTTCCCGTCTGTGAATCGGCCGGTGGGCTTTCTTCCTGGGAAATTCTTCCCGTACGGTGGGAAGTTGGACTTGAACACAGTTACGATGTAGTCATTGTTGCCGGTGTCAAGAATCGAGTCGCCGTACATGTAAACTGCTGGAATTCTACCTTCTGCTATGGCCGCTAGAGGACCAGTGGTTACAATAAGTAACAAGAAGAAGATTATGATGTTTGAATATTCTAAAGAAACTCTGGAGGAGGCCATGATCTTCGATCTGATTGCTTTGATTCTCTGTTGGGTTAACTCTTAAATAATACTGCTCTTATCAAAAGCTTGACGTACGTGGAAGAAAAGCTTCTAGGGTCCCTATTCCGTTGCAATGTAGTAGTCGTGTTGGAAGCTTATTATTAAGGACCAATTTTATGGTGTTACAGCGTTCGTTACGTATAGGAAAAGATATTTTTTATGACAAGTAGTTTGAAGGGTTCTGATTCTTCCATGTATTAGTCCTGGTATTAAAGAAATTTCATGTAAAATTGAATCGTCTTATTGTTTGTTTGCTTCGGTTGTGTTCGACCATATGAAATTCGAATGGGAGCAGGCATGCAATCTGAGTTGGATGTCCGGAATGAAGGGCATCCAACTCTCCACTAGGAATTCTGGGCCTGAACGCCTCCTACTTTTTGATCTCAATCAAGGATCCGGTTTTCGTCGTCTGGAAATTGATAATGCTAATGTAACGATGGACCATGACACAAATGGTGTCAATCACAATCAGGCCAACTGCAGACTCAACAGCAATGGAGCCATTGGATGAGGTGATTGATTTCAATGGACAATGGTGGAAAGTATGATCGGGAAAACCACTAAAAAAACAAGTATGAAACAGTGTTTTTTGGTTATTACTCTGATGACAAGTTGGCCGTAGTGAGAAAGTGAGGAAGCTATATCGATCTATTCTCTTTGCGCATTCAAACAAAAGTACAACTCCATCTGATCTGACAAACAACAGCTAAATTCATCTTGCACTGTACACGATACACATCGCCGAAATGATTAAACTCGCCTTCTGTACTGTGATCACTCTGCCAAGTTTTCTAACAAGCTCTGAAATAAATAAGAAATCAGGTGGTTAACTACACGAGAACACGACAATCACAAAGCAATGAAATGATGAATGGAAATTTGGCAGTACCTTCTTTCCTAGAGATCCCTAACCCAAATTCTAAGTCTGCACCATCAGAAGGGAGACTGACACAATGGGCATGAAGATTTGTGGGACGTCGAGAACCACTTATAGAGACATGCTGAATGGAACTTGTGCTTGCAAGTCCGGCAAGCAAGTCGAGGAAGGCTGTGGTTGTCTGTGTGTATGACGCTGTAACATATTGGGCACTCCTCCACTCCTTGAAACTCTTTGTCCAGATTACTCTTCCATATCCTTATGGCTTCAGCTAATGCTCCATTCTGTATCAACCCCCAACATGAACAACTATTAGATTATCTGCAGCTTCTCTTAACAGGCTGGTCACTTCACTCGGGAAAAACATTCACAGTATTGGACAACACAATGAGTTTTACGACAACTCGGCCCCACAAACATATTGTGTTTAACAAGCCCCTTATCTGAATTCCCCTCCACTATTTCGACAATTCAAATGAAGCCCCTACGTCAGTTTCCAACTATATTGATATCAAACTGGATCCTACATTGTCAATTAAGACTAATTCCCCACGCAGCCAGAATGAAATTCACCACACAAAAAAAAAAAAAAAAAAACCTTTCTCCCCTACACGTATTTCATAGTGTGCAAAAGACCATAATTTCAGTCATCGTTTAGCTGCATACCTGATTTCGAACAAACATCATCATGGACATTAACCACTTCCTTTGCTTCACCTCGCTTATCCCGAGACTTCTCATACAATCAACGTCAACATGGCGCAGTGGGTATGTCGCAGGAAGACGAATGACTAGATCCATTCCCGTCTCTTCTTTTGTATATGTAGCCACGACTTCATTTGCCGATTTGCTCACACTCACTGAAAACATCTCATCAGCAAAGTCCGCTTTCTTTATCTGCATCAAAGCCATGTTTGTGTCATGTCCTAACAATCAAAGGTATCCTCGAAGCCCTAGCAGGGGGGGGAAAGCAACTTTAAAGCCAAGTAGTTTCCCCTTCTTCATTCTATAAATTATTTACTTTTTCTAGCTTTCACAAAAAGATAATTCCAACTTCTTAAAATGCTTCAATAAGTGATCATAAGTGGAAATTTTGTGACTGCAGCATCCTCAATATCCCGTATAAAAGACAATAAACATGGGCACTGCAACAACACCTGATTTGTATGATACAAGTCCCAAAGGACATCTTCAACCATAACTGGCATTCTTGTGTTCTCTTTACCTAAACAGTTCTAATCATATCATATCAACTAATTTCCTATTTCAAATATGTGTGCACACAGTACATTTAATTCTGAATACATACCTGAGACAGTTCGTCAACAATCAGAGCAGGACTGCACCATGTTCGTGTAAAGGTTTCAATAAGAGACGAGGTAGAGCGATCACGGAATTCAGAGAACCACCCCCTAACATAAGCAGGGAAAACTCGAAGCATAAAACCATATAATGCTCCAGCAAGAGATGCCATGCTCTTGGTCCCAACTGGCCATAATGATTCCACCGCAAACAATAATGAGCCAGTAGTTATGGCCCTAGTTGCAGCACTTGCAGCCTCCGATGCCTCAGGAGGAAGGTCAGCATCTTTCTTCTTAAGGGTCTGCGTGTAGCATGCTTCTAGAGGAATATGCTGGAAGATGCAATCTAGTATTATTGAGTTACCAGAACCTTGAACATACTGGACCAATTGCTCTCTAGAAGGAGACGATGCTGGTAATGACCACAGGTGTGACAGCAGCAACGACCAAGAAAGTAAAATATTTACCTGCAGAATCAAGAAAGTTAACAATTAATCAGCTACTGAGAACATGATTCATTGCGATCCTAAAAAGTATACAGCATGAGTAATTACTCGTTCATGTGCCAGCAAATCCATTTCAAGCACTTCATAGGACAGTTTCTCAATTCTAAAATTTAATTCCTCCTGCAGCTGAATACTTTTCTCTGATGGCAGCACAAGACTAGATGACTCCTGATCATCACCGCTGACATCATCCATTACACGATCAGAGCCCTTGACCACAGCCGACCGTGAAACAGGTTCAGTTGAAAGAATGACATAAGCAGCAAGCTGTAGAGATGGAATTTGTATAGAGGAGAACAAAACTGCATACAAGGAACTGACTGATCCAGTACTCAACCCCCAGAATTCAACAGCCCTCACTGCTCTTTCTCTCGCTTGTGAAGATGAGTTGATAACATTTGAAGCAATCAATTGCCAAAATAAGGAATGACAACATCGAGATTCTGCCACAACTAATGCAGCTTCATGACTGTACATACTGGAAATGGATTCAGAAATTCCAGTGCAGAAGAATAAGCGAAGAATAGCTTCTATGAGTCTATCAATGGTTGAATTCCATCTCTCCAGAACAATTGGGCTGGAATCATCTTTACTTGACCTTTGGAGTTCCCAAGCCTCGCGAAACAGTGAGAAAGACGCCAAGGAATTGCTAGCAACATTAACAGCAGAAGAGTCGGAAGCTGAAACAAGATGAACTAACTGCTTCAAAACATCTGAACTTTTAGAGGTTAAGCCATCAGAAACAACATCATTCACGTTTTCTGCAGTCTCTTCCATAATAACAACCACCGACTGAATAGAAGACCTAACTTGCGAGAAAAAGAACTCCCAATCATCCTCAGCAAATTCTTTCCAGCAATAACCAACACAAATGACTAACAACTCAGAGAGGAACATCCGGACAACTGGAAGTTGATTAGCTACTACAGATGTCCGGTGTTTCTGTTTGCGGAATAACTCAAGCATAAGTGTACTCTCTTCCACACTAATGTCTCTCACCAACTTCAAAGATTTTATGCAAGGGGTTGACCTCAAAGGATAACAAGCAATAACCAGCTCCAGCCATTCTTCCGTATCTAAGTCAATGAACAAAAGCACAGTAACAAAAGTCAATACCTAAAGTGATAAAGAAAACAGGAAGATAAAAATAAAAGGTAATGCAACATTGGAGTGCAAGCTAAATGGTTTACAGGGAAGCTTGAATTTACCTTGTCCTGAAGTCCATTCAACCAATGGTGGGAACATCAAGGTCCTATGTAGCCAATCTCTGAGAATATGCTGCAGTCTTTCATCCAGAAGATCAAGTTGATTGTGTTGGCCAACTTCAGAAGATGTGCCGCCTCTATGATGCAATGACTGTATAAGAACAGTAATGATCGAGGGAAGAATGTTCAGGCAATTTTGGTTGATTGATTCTCCAACATAGAGCTTCGTCATGAGAATCTCAAACATATCAATGGCTTTGTCTCTTCCCCATATGCCATCTTTGAATAAAGTAACAACCAAAGATAACAAAGCTCGTAAAAATGGTTCTGTAATTTTTCCGATCTCATCATTCAGGGCAGGCCACACATTTAAGAGCCTCAGTCTGCCCCTTTGTCCTTGAACAAGAGCACCACTAAGCAGGATGTCCAAGATACCATCTAGTAAGCTGTGTACACTAGGATGATCCTCTGCTTTGGCATATTGACTCAGCAAGGGCAAGAAAGAATCGACAGCAGTACCATCTACCCATTTCCATGTACATAAAATTTCAGCAGCAAGCCAGGCTCGAGTACTTTCTTCGTCCATTGACTCCTTCAGAGGGATGCTGCCATCATCAAGGCAAAGAACTTTACCAATTCCAATCCTCGAAATAAGCTTGTCGATCAGAGAAATAAATTTGAGACTGAAAGACGCCTGCACCAGGCATTTAATCGCAAATCACCAACAGAAACCAGAAAAGATCACACGGTAAAGAAGGGGAGGCTCGAAAAGGAACAACAAAAAGTCATGCCAGAAAACAGAATACATTATTCATAGGGTAAGAGATAAACCATTATCAATGTTACAAAAGCATATGTAAAAACACATTTAAAACAAGTTTTCAAGCTAAAGTGACGGTCTTAATTCCAATTTCCATCATAAACTTGTCAATTAGAGAAACAAACTCGAGACTGCAAGATGCCAGCACCAAACAGTTCGTTGTAAATCCCCAACTAAAATCAGAAAGATTAAATGGAAGAAAGGACAACCTTCGGGAAGGACCGACAACAAAGATTCATGCTAGAAAGCGGAAATACATTTAACAGTAATATAAACCAAGTTTTTACACAATAACAATGAGAGGAACACAATCCATACACAAGTTGTTAACTTTCTGATTCGCTATGAGTTAGTCAGAAATCTAGTAACC